ATCTAACATTCGACAACATTCCACTGATGATCGAAGAGCGTATTACAACGCTATCTAAAATCTTTTTGTTTATTTCAAGTTTCTTATCACGGATTCAACAAAGAAAGGTAGAGGGATAAACACTTTTGGGCTTTGTTTTGTTGTGACTTAGCTTGTACTTTGTTGCTGGAAAAACTGTATTTAGATGCTAAATCTCCGTGTTTACACTGTTTATGGCAGAAAAATAAGCTTACGCTTGGTTCAACTTAATCCCGTGTCACTCGATACAAAAGGAAATTATAAAGAAGGTAAAGAAATATTCTTAGCGATTGTCTTGCGGTGTAAATTGTCTTGTGGCTAGTGGATCGAAAGCGGCCGGGTTGCGGCAGTTTTCTAAAGTGCGTAGTTCGAAACGTGATTTTGTGGATCGATGCACATTTTATTGTTGTTGCTCATTGTTACAGCTTTGTATGTTATAGAGATTTGAGTTTTATCCCAACTGTCGAATGAGAAAATGTGAGACTGTTTTATTTAAAATGCTTAGACCGTCTTGGAGCTACATATCGATAGGTTCAGCAACATTCTGATTTGTAAAAAAATTCTGTTTACATTGTGTAAAGCTGCTGTACATTTAGGCTTGCAATTTTATAATTGAAGGATCGAAGTTTAGATTATTTTGCCACACATCCACACAACGAGTTACTTGTTACTTTCTTCGTTAGGAACCGCACTTACGGACATGATTTCCTCCCTGTACAATTTTTTAGTACTAAATTTTTGCACACAAGGCTTTCTGTGGGGGGTGTATCTTTGCTTGAAAATTGGATCCCGGAAGGAGATGAACAGGGTAATTTTCCTGTGAATGCTTTGTTTTTCTGTCCATCGTTTTCGGCTTATGAATGAATAATAGAGTTAACATCAAGAAAAAAAATAGTCATCACAAATTAAACTTACAGGAGTTTAAAGTTTGGAGTAAACTTTGAGTCTTAAAGAAATTTTAGTTGGATCATGTTGATGAATGCAGTTGTGTAGGGTATGCATGCAGTTTCCAATTTTGATATTCTGTCAGAATTATGAGGGAACACTCAAGTACATATCTCATTCAAGCTATAGTTTCATTGTAAAAATCGTTTGTTTCTATTCCCATAAACTTATCATCATGTCTACATTTTGCATGAATTTAATGTGATATATTTTTGAAGGGGTTGTTGTTTTCACAGTGAAGTAATCTTCACTTTGTTTTTTTGATATGAAGTTGAGTTTCTTCTTAGTTGTTGGCTAAGGCAGTGTTGAAGTATCTGACATGTTAACATACTTAATTGTTCATTTCTCTTCAGAAAAGATTGATTGATCCTGAATCAAACAAAGGTAGCCTCACAAACAAGATTTTTGACGAACAAATGTGTACTCAAGCAAAGCATATGTCCCTGACAGTGTCAATAAAATGTATTAAAGGAAAGATCTGGGATTTTACTCCTTTGTAGCACTTTTGACCACGCATCACTTTGCTAACCTATATACTAAAAAGATATAATCAGTATTTTTTCCTACTAACATATTTTCAATTAAAGTTCTCTTCTTTTATTTATAGTATTCCCCTAATTTTAAAAATTCCATTTTCTTACTCAGATCAAGCACAGTAACCATTGGAAAGAGAAAAAAAACCTGCTCGGTCATAGACGGTTTTAAAGTTTTGATATAAAAATTGCACCCGTTCACAATGAAAAGAACATGAATGCAGACACTGCAGTTCATTTTTCTCATGTTCAAGCTTTTTTTATAAATTAGAAAGTCTTGCTGGAGAAAACATAATTTTGCTTTATCTTTTCGGTAAAAAAAAAATAATCATCATAAAATAACTTCCAGGTGTCTAAGCAATTTCAAAGAACCCATAGTGTCTTATTTCTCCGCTGCATTGAGCTGTGATCAAAGGCCGTTCTTTCTAGTGACCCGGCTTGTATCAGAATCGTGATCGTTAAGAGTGATCGCTTAAACAAGTCCAAAGTTGAATCCGGTAAACCGGCCAAAACACGAGCATCGCAGGGAACGAATCCCATAGGAAAAGGTGAAAAAGGATAATAAAAAGGCTAGGCTATTTTTAAAATATCCGTACATGTATTTTCAACTCATATTAAGCCGCAATTAATCTTCTTTCCACTTGAATAAACAAACGATGGAGGTATTGCCGCCATTTTTGAATTTGGCGATGTCACGTGGTTGCGCGTCGACCAATCAGACATTTTTCGTCGGTGAAGTTGCTTTTGACTTTTGTCACCGCGTTGGTCACGCTCTACGTTCAATTTTTATGCTCTGATTGGTCAAAATTTGACAGGTGAGTTCACGCGGAAAATTTTTGTAGCATCTTGAATCTTGTTTACTTTGACAGCTGAAGCTGACAGAGTTTTGTGTCAACTTGTGATGTTTTTAACTGTCTTTTTCCACTGGATGACAAAATGAAATTCAGCTGTTATCAGGAGTCTTCTGTTATTCATGGCTAGTTTGTTTATTGGGTTTTTGGTTGAGAAATACGTCGCTTGTCAAAGTCGGAAATCCGATTTCGGATGGCATCGTTTTCGTATTCACCTTGCTTGATGCGTAAGAGGGTTGCAAAGTCTGAAGCGATACTGGCCTTACTTGATACCTTTCAGGAGCTGCATCTCGAATGGTAAGCCAGAGTAATTATTGTATTTGATGTTTGTTTTTTGTGTATAATTCAATGAAGTCGAGCGTAGTTTATGCGCGTATTTAGTTTATGCACGTTTGTAAGATTTGAGACAATGATCTGACCGAGTATCAGGTTCGAAATAAGCTTACAGAACTTTAAAAAGCCTTTAGACAGTTTCTCACCGCAAATAATAATAATAATAATAATAACGCGAATATTTATACAGGATAACCTATCAGTTCTAACAAAAAGAACTGTTATCAAAAGGGTCCTATAATTATTTCATAAATAGCTAAAAAATAAAAAATAAAATCGAAAAAGGAAAATAGAATAAAATAACACTAAGAAATCTAAGATTTAAAAATCAAAATCTGTAAAAATCATCGACTTACAAGACTGAAAAGAGTTATGTATTATGGAATACTATTGAAAAAATTGTTTTAAATTACTCTTAAAAAGGAACCTAGAATTTACAGTTCTTAAATGCCGAGGTAAAGTATTATAAACTAGAGCCCCTTGAAAGGCAAAACTTCTCCGTCCAAGTTCTAATTTGGTTTTGGGAAGTTTTAGTGAACACCCATTGTTTCTAGTGTTAATGTTGTGTTCAATTTTTGTAAAATATCCTTTAAAAGGGGTACAGACATTATCCTGAAGACAATCAAACACAAGCTGGCAGGACTGCCTCTTTATTAAACTCTCCACTGTCTGGACTTGATAATTTCCACCAATGACTTTCTGGCTTCGACGTTCAATGCTTTCAATTCGACTCTTACGGGAATGTGACCAACAGAGACCCAAAGTTCCACAGTACGTAAAAACAGGTTGAATCATTGCTTTGTAGATTTTCTCAGCACTGCTCTTGTCGATTAAAGGTCGGATTCTCCTGAGTAAATTAAATCTTCCAGCTGCTCTTTTATACATTTTGTCAAAATGTGATTCGAGATTTAAGGATGAATCCAAGTTTACACCCAAGTATTTATACGATGACGTGGTATTAATCAGTGTTCCATTTACAGTCAAGGCTAGTTGTCTTCCATTCAATGCATTAAGCCTTTTGGCAGTACCAAAGATCATACACTCAGTTTTGCCCTTTTTTAGATTAAGGACAAGCTCATTATCACGAAACCAAGAAGACAGGTTGTGGCAATCTTCACTGAGATGCCTTTGAATGGATTCCAGATCTTTAGCAGAAAGAAAACGTCCCAAAGAATATTTAGTTATAATTTTGGCAGTAAAAGGAAGCTTTGAGCGATTCTCTTGCCTCGAGTTCGTCTTTGAAAAAAGCAAACACCGGGAAGCCGGCTTAAAACATAAACTTAAGCTTGAAGCTTGAAGAGACACTTTAGAGACACTTTAATAGTTGTCTTCCTGAATGAAAATTGTTGTCTCTGTATATGTTTCACTGAATTATATTTCTTTTATTGATTGTTAGTAGACTCTCTTGTAATTTTACTCCCTCTGCCGGTTGTTTTCAGTCGTTCAGTGAACATCGCTTGCAGGAGTTCTCAAAATGCCGCACGTTAAACCATTAAATAAAACATAAGCGTAACTCTGTTAATGTTCATTCAAACACTCGCCAGAGCTAGCACTACAAAAGTGAGAACCGGATGGCCGTATAGGTGATGGAAATTTTTTTAAAGGTTTCGCTAAAAGCCCACGCGTACTTCCAACGTCCTGAATATTGAATGAGTACAATTTGTATTGTGACATACTGCTTTCTTTCCAAGGTCTGTATGATAAAAACAGTGCCTCATACTACTGTTTTACCTCAGATGGGATGTGTAAATGGTATAAAAGGTTGGTTTGCACGCACCCAGATTTGTTGGCAAGATTTTGCAATATAAACTTGTCGAATGCAAAAAATTTGGCCTGATTTTTTTTTTCCAAGAGCCATTATGTCCTTTAGATGTGATCGAAGATTATTACCAGTTTTTGGGTGTACATATGAGGCTATCAACTGGATGTAAGATTTGGTTAACTCTTGGGCTGTTTGCAAATTAATTTTCTCTAAAATCACGTAGCCTTTCCCTCAAAAGTCACATAAATGTGCTCTAAAGTTAAATGAATTGTGGAATACAAGTTTATTGTTTGATTTAAATTTCAAATATATTAATGGGAGCCTCGCTTTTAGCCCTGGCTAAATCTATATATTAACTTAATGCAGGATTTAGTTTATTTCTTTCCTCTCCGTCTTTCGTTTGTAAGAAGTTTCGTATGATTACGTCACTGGAAATCTTCCATGTTCTTGGATAGTACCTTTGTGAGAACAGACCAGGCTTAGGAGCCGGATGTCAAACGCTTCCGTTGTTGTAAGTAGCACGAGTTGTTCCAGAGCTTGGTGACACTCCCATTAAATTTAACGTTGCGGAAAAGAAAAAACCTGTAATTCGACATCTTGGCACTGAATAACTCCACCATTGTCCTGAGGTGGTGGCTTGAAACATGGAGTCTCAATATTTCTTGAAACTCTTTTCCTTGAGCTTCTAAAGAACGGCGTGAAAAATGACCAAACAATATTGTTAAGGCCGCTGCGATAATTTTTACTAAACATAAAGTATATTGCTGGATTTATCGAAGAATTAATAAATGTTAAATATAAGCTACATTCTCCAATAAATTTCACGCTACAGGGGGGTTCTAGGTTATTGTTAAACCAGGTGAAGGTTGCTACGTAATGATAAATTAAGAATGGAAACCAACAAACGCCGAAAGCAATAACCACCGCAATTAACATACGAAGCACCTTCCTATTTCGACTAAGACAAAGACTACGTCTGCTTGCCTCCTCTGGTAAGGTCATTCGTCTAATTCGAATAATAATTGTAACGTAGAGGGCGGTTATGATAAAAAATGGAATGAACACAAATATGATCGTATGGACAAGAAATTGAATTTTCCAGGCTTCAAACCTATCTTCGAAAAGGGGCTCCCAGGTGTGCACACAAAATGCTCCTTCTTCTAACTTGAAAGCGTACAAATCAACTGCATGGATCACACACGCCACCATCCAAGTGATCACAATAAGTAATATACCTCGCGTCTTTTGATAAGTATTTTGGATAATTGGACGCGTAATAGCGTAGTATCGCTCGCTTGCAATTATCAGCAGGCTCAGTAGTGAAACAGCCACGGTTATGTCTTGGAAAAAGTAAACAACCTTGCATAAGGCCTCACCTAAAGTTCCTCCAATAAGCCAAGCAAGTTGATCAGTGAATGTCTGGGTAATCACCCTTGGGATGACAAACAGGGTGCATAGAAAATCGGAAACGGCCACATTGACGATTAGCAGGTTTACAATTGTCCTCATTCGACGCTCTCTATAAACCACCATGATTACCAAAGCGTTTCCTAAGGTGGATGTAATGAAAATAACTGCGCAGACGGCAGTCGCTCCGATCTCCCTTGTTTCGCGATCCACACCATCGCACTCTATCTTATCCTCAGAGTTCGGTGTTTTTGTGCCGTTGCTGGTATTCATGTTCCTTTGAAATTCTTTAAACCTAAAAGTACCGTTTTTGTTCTTCAAATCCCCAATATCTCTTCGCCCAGATGAGTAATGCTTTAGGAAGTTTAAATGGTTCAATTAGACGCGCTTGTGTTGTAGATAAGCTATATCGTATAATTGTCTGTTGAGGTAGCATAATAAGCTCAGAGAACGTCAAAACCATAGTTTTCTTTAGCAAACAAACCACAAAAACTCCCCTGATTACTTGTGTCAGTCAACAGCTGTTCCAATAAAATCCTATGAAGCCTTTTCGCCACTTTGGGGAGATTTTCTCTAAAACCAGATAGAAATCTCCGGTTTAATTTGGAAAAATTGAGAACGCTTTCTTCCATCGTTGTTGATTTATCTTTTAATCTTTTCCGCTTCCTCTGGTAATGGCTATGTTTTGCGAATCACAAAACAGATGAAATCCAAGAAGATGATTGCCTTATCTAAAAAAAAAAGTAATTAAAGGAAATTCCAAGTGTAGTAATTAGACTAACGTCCGGTAAAAATCATTTTTCAAAATTTCGCCCTTAAAATTCATGAAACCCTAAATCCGATTCCATAACAAAATTTGTTTTTCCAAGGGACATCTAAATTAAAACTTTCAAATTGAACTGATTTTTTCAAAGAATCAGCATACAGCAGTGTAGAAATAGATTTATAGTTCACCAAAAGCTACAATTTGCACTTCTGCATCACATTTTCACCTGCGCAAGATAAAGGAAAAAATAGATAATTTCTCTACCGAAAATAACTTTTGGAAACATATTGTGTGTTAAATAATAAATTTCCATGACGTGACATCCAAGATACAAAATTAATTTATGATATAATGGCAAGGCATTTAAAAACGAAACATATATATTAAAAAAAAGGCGTTAGTGTCAGCCTATTTCTTAAAATTACGCAAAACTGCATCTTACAATTGTTTTCGGTTTTGTTGCGGATATGGGTAGAGATGGGCGCGTGTTCAATTACCTGTTTTTCGTGCATGTGATATGTGAAGACTAAATGTTTTAAAAGCAAAGGTACTGACAACAGTATTTTACCTTGATCTATAAAAAAATGGTATCCTATAATTTTCTCCTGCTTCGCCGAGGGTATATCAATGCTGAAAATATCCACACAAAACTTATTAGGTCAAGGCAAGTCAGCAAAGTAAACTTTACATTTTATTTATCGGCCGTATCAAATCAGCAAGAACTACTCCCTCTTTTTGCTCGCTTTAGCATTTATTCTTGGAACTACTTGAAAAAGAGTTATTTGAACATATATCTGACATTATTAATGTTAGAAGAAAAATAAAAGAAAATTTGTGGATAAAGAAAAAATAATTTTACTTATAATTACTTGTTATTTTGTGTTTGTTCTAATCCATCTTCATTCATTATAAGACCTGCTGGCGTCGCTCATCTCAATTGTGAACATAATTAACAACGCACGTCTCCATACCGGCTTGTTACTTACAAGTTCAACATCTTACGATATATCAAACACGAAAAGGAGTGTTTCGTTTGATATTCCGACACCAACAAATTGAGTAAAAGATATAACAATATATAGGGAGTGATTGAACACACTCAGCTATGAATACAATAATTTCCAAAACAAAATGTAGAGTTTCTGTATAACATTTTGTGAACCGTTTCATATTATATCAGATACCAATTCGCCTTTTCAAAAATGTCATGGAAAATCGAACACAATTTTTTGGAGAAGAGATTTTTGGGACCTGTCGGTGGACAAAAAAGCAGTAATTTGTCAATGTTTCCCTCTAGAAACCATCGACCAATCATAGCAACAAATCAATCTGGCAACCAAATAGTCTGCTTCACAGCCGTTCTTTGTGTCCTCACGCAAACTCCTACACATATACGGCTGCTGAGAACCTAACCACATTCCGCTCCGCATATTATCCAATCAGACTTCAGCTTCCATTTTCAGGAAGGTCGCGCCACGTTAACACTACGGTGACTCCTCCATCACAGCTTTGCTCTTATCGGTCCCCAACGGGTGAATGACAGAACATTAAAAACTGTCAAAACAAGCAGTCAACGAGTAGTGTTGTCGCATTTGAGTCCAGTTCAAAATTTACAGTGTATGAGATAAGCAGCAGCAGCAGTAAGCTAGTAGAGAAAATGTGATCATGGTTAGTAGAGGGGACTGGCCAGTCCTCTCTACTAGTATCATGTTCATTCGCCTTTCAAGTGTGAACACTCCGGCTTCGCGCGCATATCTCACCTGACTCCTTAGTTCCAGACCAATTGCTTCATAGAATCTCAGTCAAACTTCGACTGAAGGTAAGTCCCGTTTACCTATATAGTTTCTTATACATGATTGGTTTGTTCGTTAGTACAAACACAAAGGGAAAGGAATGTAGTTCGGTTCTCAGCTGCCGTTTATGGGAAGGACTGTTGTGTGACGACACAAAGAATGGCTGTGGAGCAGACTATCAACCAAACGATCTAATAAATTGTTGTGCCAACTGCTGGGCCGATTCTTCATGGTGGTCATGTCTAGCCGGGCTTTTCTTATTTTGATTAAGAGCAACGGTCAGGAAATATCGACCAACGAGTGGCAAGAGTTGAAAAAATCGATTTCCTTCATTTTTTGTCCATAAATAGCTTTTAGGTAGATAAGTAATCTGATGTAAGTTGTTCTCGCAAAAAGCCTTTTATTTTCGAGAAAAGTAAGAATATCAGTTTTCGTGGTCGGAGTCTCAAAATGGCCGTATTTTCAACCCGAAATTTACTAACATCAACTCTCGTCGCGTTCGCAAATAAAGCCGCAAGGAGAAACTTTCCATCAATAGAACAACTCTTCTTCTTTCACCAGAAGATACTTTCAAAGCAATATCAAGACTCGTTGAACTAACATAATTCAAAAACGAAGAACAGGTTTTTACGGTGACAAAAACTTTAATTTAGTAGTTCTTTTCTGCGGCATTATTCTTCATATGGTATAGCTCCAAATTTCCCCGTTCCTTGATTATTCACCCATTTAGACATTCATCTAAAGCATACCTGAGAGTTGGCTTGGGTTCCTTTAAGCAGCCTCCAAACGAAAGCATCGAAGTCCGGTAAAAAAAGTGAAGCGTGACCAAAACCCCCTGGTTTAACGGCCGCAAATTTCCTCGATCGTAAAGTAACAAGACGAAATATTTTCCTGTTCCGTCATCCTGAGCGGATTACCATTATTAAAGTCCTTATTTTTCGATAAAAAGTGAGTACCAGAAAAAGCGCGTTTGACTTTTTCTTCTTCAAAAACTGTCCGGATCGAAATTGTTACTCTTTCAAGAATTGCGTTGCGTTACTACCGTGATTCCGTGACTGTCATTTTGACGGCTCCGTCTCTTCAAAGGTAGGTTATGTCACGTGCAGTTACGGAACAGATTGTCACGCAGCGTCGCCGTCTGGTAGAGTTCAGTATTTCAAAATGGCAAAAATTGTCCCAGTTTCACCTTTTTACCCGACTCTTTGACTGGAAAAAGGAATTTTGCAATGGGAAAAACCTACAAGAAGTACAAAAAAATGAGCCTTTGGGCTGTAAATATCTACTTTTGTGCGTTTCGAAATTGGAAGTGCTGACACAATTACCGCCGGCCTATCATGAAAATTCCTGAACTTCGATGATGTGTTACAGAGATTACATTCAATAACCCAAGCCAATTCCCAGGTATGTTTTAATTGAATGTCTCAATGTGTGATTTAAATAGCATTAAGAGAATTTGGAGTTAAACAACACGTTAAATATTGCCGTCGAAAATGAGTAACGAACTTAAGTTTTTGTTATCCTGAAAACCTATCCCTCATTTTTGAATTATTTCAGTACGACGAGCTTCACTATTGCCCTGAAAGTATCTTTTAGTGGAAGAAAAAGAATTTTTCTGTTCATGGTAAGTGTCCAAATTTCTCCATGCTGCTTCCTTTGCGAACGCGAGGAAAGTTAGTGTTAGCGAATTTCAAGTTAAAAATTAGGGCAGTCTGAGACTCCGACATCGAAAACCGATCTTCTGATTTTTCTCACAAATAAAAAGCTTTCGGCAGGAACAATCTACTTCAGGTTTCTTATCTACTTAAAAGCTAAAAAATGAAAGAAATTGAGTTTCCACTCTTGCCACGAAAAGACCTATTCGGCTAACTCAATGTTGTACCCAATTCAAACCGACCTTTGGGAATAAAACGTTTTGTTTCAGGAACTCCATATCATTTAAATGTGAATGCCACATTGTAATTCAAATACTATACACAAAGAATTTTATTCCCGGGAGATTTGAATTGGGTACAACATTGAGTTAGCCGAATAGGTCTATTAAGATTTTGGTCGATTTTTCCTGACCGTCGCTCTTAAGCAAAATTATTCTATTTTCAGTTTGAAATGAAAATGACAAAGATAATCCTCTTTTTAATAATAATAAAATAAAAATGATAATAATTGTAATAATAATAATAGTAATAATAATAATAATAATAATAATAATAATAATAATAATAACAATAATAGTGATTTATTGTGAAGCGATTTACTGTAGCTGACGTTTTATATGCTCGAAGCAATGTTGCCTATAAACAGAAGTTAAATTACGGAGAAAAAAAGGAAGGCAAATATTTTCGAAAATTGTACATTAGGGCAAGTTAACAGGGTAGAGAACACTGCAGATAAACAACGCTCATCTCGATAAAAAAAAAACTTTCTCATTCACGGTGAGTTAACAGAAGCAAATAAAGCTCTGTGTTTCTTCTCAGAAAGGGGAGTTATCTAAACTTTCGACGTTTGACGCTAAAGCTTACAAAAAATTGAAACTATGATTTGCCTTGTTTGAAAATACTGTAAAGATCTAACTTTTGCGCTTTAACTGTTTTTGGCTACATGTTCACGCATGAATTCACCTGTCAATCACACTAATCGTTTTTTAATGGTTTCCTTTCTAATTCTGTTGAGATCACTTCGTGTGTATATATTAAGACGATTATTGGTCTGAGGTTCAG